GGACGTCTGTGCCAAAGTTGAAGAAACTCCCTCAAGGTATTCTTGAGATATCACGTTTACAAAAATGAAGCAGACAAGGTCACCGAACCCTTGACGTTTGACCTATGATCACCAAAAAATTATTAGTTCATCTTTGAGTCCAAGTAGACATTTGTGCCACATTTAAAGAAATCCAGAACCCAAGGTTGGGAATGCTGGTTCTACATCGCCACTTAACAAGTGAATCACACCACACTTAACTAGCTGGGATAACGGCTGAATCTAAACATACAGAATTTTATCACTGATTTTCCTTAACAATTCTAGTGTTCAGCACACGAGCTGAGAATATCATAACTGAATCATGCACAGCCTTACAAACAAAATAAACTGAAACTACAACACTTATACAATACAGAACAACTCAAGAAAATTTCAGAGAATGCATTAAACTTACAGACAAGGCAGAAAACTTCCAAGATGTAACTAAAACAGTGTGACAGATCCAAATATATGACCTGCATCTTATGTGACCCCATCAAAGATAAGTTCAATTCTCTCTACTTACTACAAATTCTCTGAGTTTAATTCAAGAGCTATATTTGCCATTTATTGTCCCCTGACAGAAATGTGCTTTAGAGACACCACCTGGCCTAATGTGTGCACCATTTCAGGTCATTAGTCTGTTTATGTTGTCTATGATACAGTTCGTCTCGACGCTCAGTCGGTCATTCAAAGTAAAGGAGGCCAGGGGAGCCTTGCAAATCTCCATCTGAAAAACAGGAATAAATAATCCTGATAGGCAGGTCATTATCGCCAGGGTGTCTGCACCCAGCAGCTTATTCCCTAACAGGAGTAATGAATCAGCACCAGACATCTCATCAGCTCTCAAGATCTCCTTTCAACACTCAGGCCAAAACACTCGACACGCTAGAGGATGAGTCCCACCAACTATTACATTAGCGCAGAATATTGAATCTTTCAACGCAGTCGCCTGCTACTGAAACCAAGACAACACAGACTAATTTGGAGAGATGAGAGGAAATTAATCAATAACCAGCTTATTTGTTTTACTTCAACAAAAGTTAAATGTCAGATAAAAACACTGCCCTCGGGAACATGATGACATTAATATTCTCGAGACTCCATCGTTCATAACAAATCAAAACAAGACGTTAAATGCTCAAATACACTCCTGTTTGTTGATTCACAGGAGAGGTCACAGCACAACTGCCTCCCTGTTACCAATTAACTGCTCAGTCATGGGGTTTGGGAGTCGGGATATGGAAAGTGGACTCAAACATGGCTGTTTTTCACCCTCCAAGCGAGCGTCTTGCAGGGACAGGTCAGTGGCACAAACACGCACCACCCTCAGTGTGATCCTTGACAGCTTGGGAACGCTCAGGAGGACACAAAGAGCCTTTATTCAGCCCGAACACCTCCATGTACAAACTGGAAATTACATTTGGCTGTGTGCAAGCTGTTACCAACAGCCTCCTTTTCTCACAGGTGAATATTTGAAAGCAGTGTCATAAAAGACACAAACAGCCTGCACGGTCCATTTGCTGGGATGATTTTCATCAACCTAACCGCTCTGTTCAGTAAGCTACTAGCAGATTTTCCTTTATCTCCTTGCTGCAGGGGATGAAAGAAAATGGGAATATTGTCGTGGTTCACTGGAGTAAACCAAGTTTAGGGCATCAACCAACAATTGTTTTAATTACAGATTCATCTGTTAATTACTCCTTTGAATTAGCAATTAACTTTTCAGTCTTTAAAATGTCAGAAAATAGAGCAAAATGCCAGACACAAGTTTCCAGAGGCAAAGGTGATATCTTTAGATGTCTTGTTCTGTCCGAGCAGCAGTCCAGAACCCAAAGATATTGGCATCATATTCAAAGTAGTTAATCTATTCACATTTGTGAAGCTGGATCCAGAGAATGTTAGGCTTCTTTGCTAACAGTTAATTGATTATTAAAACTACTTTTCTGTCAGTCCACCAATCAGTTAACTGACAAATGATTTCCGCAATGATAAGGTTACGAGTTTGCACGTGTATTTAGGCTTTTAAGTAACATGATGGTAATTCAATTAGCCAAATTAATTAATCAAAATTAATACACCCAAAAACTCATGGATGATTATGTGCAAGGTTCCTACAGTCATGAAATTCCTGGAAAATGTATGTATGAAAAACTGTTTAAGGCCTGGAGAGGGTTTTAAATTGACAGAATATTCTGGAAAAGTTTTGAAAATACATTTTTTGTGGTTGCTGTTTAAAATATCTTCCAAAAAAATCCCAAAACTTGTTCCTTGTATTACTTATTTGAAATATATGGCTGCACTGCGTTTTTGCCCACGCTGCACCCCCTTTTGGGGGAAAGAAATATGCTGTTGGGGTGCTGTCTAGCTAAGTGGGTAGTGTGCACCCCATGTAGGTTGAGGCCTTAGCAGCGGTTTTCTGTCACTCTCCAGCTGTTCTATAATAAAGACAAAAAGCCCTAAAAATAATCTTTAAAAAAAGAATTGCACTTTCACGTTAGGAGAGAAACAGGAAAATGCTGAGGAGCGATCGTGTAGCATATTAACCAAGGCTTTGTGAAGTACCTGCATGTGCCAGTCTGGTCTATTGGCATATGAAGCTAGTTGGTTAACGAGTGAGTTAAGTTAGCAAGCACTAGCAGTTTGCTTATTTGCAAATGCAAATTTGCAAATCTTTTTACAATCCTATCTATTTACACTACTTTAAAAAGTCATGGATATGGGGTAAAATATTATGGAAAAGTTTTAATACAGCACATTACTGCATTCTACTGAGAGGTGTTGCTAATATTTAGTCTACCCTTATTAATAGAAATATGCTGAACAAGATGAAGGGACAACAGGACTACTACATTAGACTGCATTAGTTTTAGCTAGGTGAACCTAATAAACTGGCAACTCTGTGTATTTATAAAGCATCGAACAGAGGGAGAAAAACAACCTGAAAAGATTAAATCCACATTCTTAACTTCATTTGGATTACAGATGATTTAATTATCAATCCCATATACAATGCTTTAACTGACATTAACATCTGCATATGTAGATTTTGTTTTGTTGGGGTTACATTTGTTTAAAATTGTAAATTATTATTTTACCCGTGAGGTTGTATTCATTTACTTTCCATTGTAAGATATCTCATGATATGTACGGTACTCATATTTGTATGAGGTCAATATATTGTGCTGTTAATTGCCTGGGGGTTACTTAGAGGAATGTTTGGTTCGTTGTTAATTAATGTGTCTGAATAATTCCACGAGGGATCGGTCATGTAAACAGCCAGACACAAGAATAAAACTACTAATTTGTTCATATGTTATAGCTGCACGCCTGATGAAAAACTGCAGCGTAATGTACAAAAGAATTCATATTACAGAATGTCTCCTCTGATACTTATCAAATTATCTATAAAAATCAGTTGATATTTATCTCATCAGGCTGACACGACAATGGGAAGTCAAACTGCAAGATTAAAATAGAAGATTTGTTTTTTAAAACACAAACACTAGAAAAACAAACTATCATTATAGGGTGGGGGTCATCGTTCGCATTTCTGAGTACCAAACAAACAGGCTGTATGAGGACATTTCAGCTCTGGGAGCTTGTGGTTAACCGCATTTATCTGAAACTAGTCTATATTCCCAGGAAATCCCAGAGACCCTCGCTCACCCCAACCCATCCCAATTTATCAACCGCAGGACCCTTAATTTAGATCAGCAGATATCCATTTTTTTAGACTAGTCTTATTTTGGCAAAGGTCTTGTAAAACGGCTTCTGTGTTTGGACATGTAATGTTTGTGCAGTAAGATGCTTCCCATATTTTGCTAAATTAAATAAGGTTTTGCGGAATAACATGTTTATATTCATCAAGAAACAAGTATTGTTCTTTACATCAGCACTATACTCACTATATGCCACTATGGCTTTCAAAATCTACCAGTTTTGTGGTCAGGAGAGAAGCCACTTGCATATTTACCTGCATTTGGCTGGTGCTAATTTCCAACTCTGTTACAAGCCCCCAAAACATGCAGTATTTCCCAACTTTTAATCATTCCAGTACGGAGAACACTTTGGAGCTGGCTTTTGGAAATTAATGCACAGAAAATATAGCTTAATGGATAAAATATGACACGTAAATAGCACATTTTGGACACATTATATTTTGGTTGCAGGGAAATTCAACTCGTGACCTCAGCACTTCTCAAATCCTGTCTGCAGCCCTGCCACTGCCAGGTCGAGGAGGTCAAATTGTGAAACTAGTGAACCATTCTGTCTCCATGGTGACAGGATGACGACTGCACGAACACATGCTAACAACAGGATATTACTGATTGACGTGATAATAGGGGAGAAAACTGGTGTGACTGCAGCCCAGAGATAAAAGCAAGGCAGCCTGGTGCAGAAAGCTGCAAGAGGTGTTACACTGTGCTGCATGATGAAGCATCAAAAAAGCACATAAATAAAACACAAAGCTAATGGTGATAATGTGTAACAGTGACATGCATAACGAGAGCAGTGCAGAGCCAGGACAGAGCCCGGACAGGCTGAGGTCTGAGACTGCTGTATGAGGGACTGACCACTGGCTGCTGTCTGTCGTAAACAACTCGCAGAGAACAATGGGCAGGGTTGGGTTTACTTTATCCGATAATACAAATACACAAGCATCTTTCCTCTGGTGAACCGATAGCCTCTTCAAACCCGGCGGAAAACGCACATATAAGCACGACTAAACGTCCAAAGCACCAACGTCTACTAAATCCATCACCGGGTCTTTCCAAAAACAAGTCGGTCCCAACGCCGAGAGCTAACGTTAGCTGGGAGCAGCGACCCACACTCGGTCGGGGACTCATCTCGCCTGTCAGCCGGCTTCAATCGGCGGAGAAGAAAGCCTAAACTCTTATGTGGAGCAACACAAGTCATATGCGTTGAGATTCGCTGTAAGAAAAACACAAAACACATAAAAAATAGGACCTGTTTACCTGTTAGAGTAGCTGCACTCCACAGGGCGCCGCCATCTTGAACACCTCACAGCCCATCCCACCGCAGTCAGCCTCCGCTGTCGGGCTGCATGCAAACTAATCCCACAAGTTAGCGCCTCGCGAGTCTCTGCCGCAACTTTTACAACTCACTCACGCGAGTTAAATCAAAAATAACCGTGTCGACTTACGTTAAATAACTCAGAAGTGGTGTTTTCATCTACAGCCCGACAAGTTCCTTGCTCAGTTGGAAAGCTAAGATTGTTTTTCCCAGCTCCTCATTGGTGGAAGGATGAAATGTGTGTAATGCGGTTTCGCGTGACCCACATGTGAAAAGCGCACGCGCAAATTAGATTTTTTTTTTTTTAAAGCAGGTAGTGGAGTGATCGATATGGAGGCTCATTAACGCCACAAAAACAAACAGGTTAGAAAATATTAAAGGGCAAAAATAATCAGATGCTAAGGCGAAATTATTAATTACTCAAAGTTTTCAACTTTAAAGTCAGAATAATTAGAAAGTAAGGATGGGCGATATGGACAAAATTCATACCTAGGTATTTTCAGGCTGAATGGCGATACATGATATACATATTTAAGTATTTTCTACTAAATGGGCTACATGTTCAGTTGCAAACATTTCAGATATAAAAACAGACTGTGATCAAAATAAAATGCAAAGACAGGGACTTTTTCCCTGTAGGAAAGTAAGCAGCTGCACAACATGTAGCCTAAATAATTAATTATAGAAAATAAATAGCAGGGCTGTATGTTAACTTTTTGCACACAACACTGGAGCTACAGAGGTTTAAAGGTTTGCAGCACAGGACACAATGTCATAATTTGACTAAAAAGTAATGGTTAGGACTGAGCGTAATTTCACATTAAAAAGTTTCAATTGTGAATCACTATCTCAGACTTTCTACCAACTATGAATATCTTTTATTTTTACCACTCTTGACGTTTTATTTCAGTCTTTTCCTGGCAGATATTGGCTTCCATACACTCAATACTAAAGCTACCTGAATTACTATTACATCATATATTATGATGTTGCATCATTATTATTGACAAATACCTGCAGTCTCGCTTGATGAAAATTATTTTGATTAAGCTGCTGGCCTGATGGGTGCTGTCATACAGGATTAATGCAGAGTACTGTAGTTGTACTGGATTAGATTAGATTAGATTAAACTTAATTGTCATTGCACAGGTGCCAGTAAAACTACAGGAAATACAGTCTAGCATCAAACCAGAACGTTTAAACAATAGATAAAATAGCCTAAATAAACCTGAATGAAGTGGGGCACATGTTGCGAGGCATGGACTTTTCTCTTTTGTACCCCATGTCTGTGTAATTCTAATTAGTTATTCTTCACCTTAATTTATAACTCAGGTAGGTAGCATTCATGGTAGCATTCATGCTCTGTCACAGCAACACTCACCACTAAAATATACAGTATATATAATACGAACACATTGAATCACAAACAAGAAAAGGTAGTAAACAAACAGGCTCAGGCAGGTTATTGGTGAAGTTTCAGAGGCCCTGATGACTTTAACCAGCCTTATCTTAGACAATATCAGCTCCATTTAAACACACTTTGGCTAGTGGGGGAGGCTGCTGTGCTGTGTGTGTGTGTGTGTGTGTGTGTGTGTGTGTGTTTACACGTCCCTGGAAATAATAGCAGCAGAGCTTCACAAACACAGACAAGTACCTAATATATTAACACTGTAGTTTGCTTTAGTAAGGCTCAATCCTTATGGTCTATATTAACAAAATGACTTAATTATTAAGCTAATATAATGGGCTAAACAAAAGGTCGGCTACATGTTGCAGCTGCATTTAATATATGTTGTATTATATGCATGTCATATAGTACATGTAACCACACATAAACATACCGTGTTATTCTTATGTCTATCATTATATTATTACACTATGTCATATAGCTAAATACTCACATCGGCCTGTGTACATATACATGTAAGTATCCATATACATATCCTATATACTGTGCAATATTCTACCACTTACTGTCATGTAATATTTATGTATTTCTCCTGGAAAAATATACACACCATGTGTATATTGCAGTTTTCCAGTGCAGCTATTAATCATGGACAAAAGGTATCTGTCGTAGTGAAAGGTGAATATAGTGTATGTGGATTTTATATTATTGTATCTTTATTGTATCCAGTTTGTATTTTTGTCATATTTTTATCCTTATTTTGCACTCAATTACTCTGTAAGTCTTGAGCTACTGTAATGTGCGAATTTTTGATTAGTTGATAATGTCTAATCTTATATATTATCCTATAACAGGGTATATAATATAATATAATATAATATGTTATTATTTATCCTTTATAACATCCACTGTATAAAAATAGTCAAATAAAATAAATTTTCAAATGAAACTGACAACTGCAGTCGTTAGCATGCAAAGAAAGTATCTACATAACATGAAGTAAATGCACATCAGGGGCCTAGATATAGACAGTGCAGGCAGTGCAATTGCACTGGGACCCCTGGGATGGAAGGGCCCATAGCGAGAGCAGGCCCTTGCAAGTGATTTAGATTGACACCTTTAATATATACCTGTGTTCAAAGACAACTGATTAAAAAAAAATATTATTAATAATCTAAAAACCCATCTGTGTCATGGTTTTCTTTTTTCTTTTACACTGTCAGTAGCTATTTGAAACAAAATTATATGCTTCTTCCGTATAAGCCAAAAATCTATGAATATCCTCCTGAGACCCTGTGTCTTCATATGAGGACATTACGTTTTGGGTTTACTGGACCTTATACTTTATTCTACTTAACTACTTTGTCCCTTTTTGTCCCATCTAATACACTAATCTATGTAAAAAAACAAGATGGCAGCCATCTCTGCCAAGTTAGTCTGCAGCCGATCCCGAGACAAAAGTGGTACAAAGGTACAAAACCCTATCAAATTCAATAATTGAAACTTGTGTATTTATGATTAATAATGTTTGATATGGCAACAAATTTGAGCAATTTTAGGAACAGTAACAAGCTAAGACACAGTTAATTAGAACTCGCTTGAAGACACTGGGACTTTATCATCATCTCATTTGAGGACATTGGGGCTTTATTATCATCTCATTTGTGGACATTGGGACCTTATTATTGTTGACAATGTTTAGTTTTTTTATACTTATCAGATCCCACTAATCCCAAATCAGGTCTCAGGACGACATGCCATTAAAAACTATTCAGTTAAATTGTTAATTTCTTACTTTCCAACACCGTTTGAACTAATGTCCTTAATTAAATGAAATATACTTTGTATTTTAATTTGTCAGGTATCTCATTGACACACAACTTCACAGACTTGTCAATATTCTAACATTCAGTACTCATATTTTGACATGTGGATATAGGTTACCTATTCCGTGTACATCTATCGCTCCAACCATTGACTATCGGTGATAGACGAAAAGATGGATGGCTACCCGTATGTATACCTATCCTTCTCCTCCTATTGTATATAGATAGAATTGTATTAAATTAAATGTGTTACACAAACTTTTCCAGCAAGTGTAACAGCTAACCCTCAGCCTTTTACAATTAACCCCACCCATGGGGCACATTCTCACTTCTACCACTTCTCAGTGCAACTGTAGAAGAAAGGTGAGTTCTAGAAAAGCAATAACTGTTTATTTGTAGCAGAGATGTGCATGTGGTTAGAATAAAACAATAAATTAAGTAACCTCAAAGAGTTTTAATAATATTCAGCCCAAACTAAAATGTGTTAGGTTGTGCCCTGCTGTCCCCTAGCCCTTTGCAGAACACACACACACACACACACACACACTCAGACAAACAACACCCATCATTAATGCATGTGACGACTTACACACGTTGTCCACACGATGTCGCACTTGCACTTGTTCCCTCATATAAATCCTCTCCTCCTCAAAACGTGTTTTACTCCTCGACTCGATGTTCTTTGAAATGATTTGACAAGTTGTCATTATTTTCTGAAAACTGCACCCCCCAAAAAAGAAAAAAAATAATAATAATTAACTCCCAGATTTTGTCACTTGAACCCATCTTGTCACTCTGTCCCTGACACTGAAACATCCGGAGAGCAAATCTGTCATGTCTGAATATCTAAATGCTTTGATAAATAAAGACAGAGCAAACAGTGTCAATCACCCAGACTGGTTTGGTGTGTGTATCTTTGGAGGTGCTACAGTCTCATATGATCTTCTGGTCATTTAAATCTTGCACACGACACAGTCATACACAGCATTACTCTGAGTAAATCCTGTAAATCAAACACTGTGAGGTGGAAATATTCGGGCGGATTTTTTTGGTTGGAATTTTTTTCTTGTTTTATAATTTTTTATCTAATTTAAATGTATATATGTTTATTTTAATAAATTTTTAAGATCAGCAGAAATTGGCAGCTGAATTAAAATAATGTATCTTTAATTTAAAGGAGCAAAACGCTCTGCTTGAGGAAGACAACTTCATTTTTTAGCCTTCAACCCGACATTTCTCCCCCCATCCAGGAGCTCTGGCTGTTTTGTGTAACTGTTCAAGAGACAGCAAAGGGCCCGTGTTTTTTTACGCAAATTTCCACCTGCAGGTTGGCCCTTTCATTGGTTGAAACCACAGTCAGATTCTCCTGCGGAATTATCTGATTGAAAATCAGGGAGGGGAGAAAAAGAGAGAGCAACAAGTGCGTTGGTTTTACGCTGCTTTGCTTTCCTGACTTTCAGAAAAGGATTTGGGGACGCGTTTTTACTGCGCTAACAAGGACATTTTTATTATTACTGCAACTTTCATTTCGTCGGGAACTTGCTGGGTTAACGGTGAGTACATGCTGACTGTAATATAACTTCTTAACACAGTTAGAGTGACACTTTTCACCACTTTTAATACTTTTTCTACGAATAATAGTTTATTTCTAACCGTGAAAACATTTAAAAGGTGCTAATTAAACTTTATATTCAAGGGCCTGTTGACAAAGTAGAAAGTTATAAGGCCTAATAATTCATATTAAGCATATAGCGCGAGTTTAAATTATGGACAATTATAATAAATTCAATTATAATAAAGCAAC